ACCAGTCATGTCATTAGTACACAAAAAGTATTCTCACACTGCAGAGGGCCCAAGGGTTTTCGGAGCTGTGTGCCAAGAACGGGGAGAAAGACCAAATTATTTCTTATTCTATTACATCTTCAAACAAGGCACAGCAAATCAGTCGATTCAATCAGAGGTTACTTTGGCCAAAGCTTTCCTCATTACGAGGGAAAAATCTAAGAAGAAATTAAATATGAATTTCTTAGATTCTCCCCAGCTAGTGGGCTGGGAAGCAGAAAATAGCCTCTCCTGGAACTTGAGTGTCTAAGAGACTCCTCTAACAGCTAAACAATTTAAATTGAGAAAGCAGAGCCTCTGAAGCTGTCCCATCTAATCAGTAAGAAAAATTAAATGGTTCTTTTACTTGGCTGCCCAGACCTGCTCAGCCTGCTGCACTGCAGTTCAGTGCTATACACAGAAATGTAAGGGTTGTCAGTGTCCCACTTGCACTTCCAGAAACTGTCGTAAGCTCTCTCAGAACACTTCTCCCCAGCAAGACGCTGCAGATATCACTGTGAATGAAAATGTAACATCCAAAAGCACCATGGAGGAGCTGTCCAAGTGATGATTAAAACTCTGGCTCATAGCACCTAATTGCTCTTTTATCTGAAGTGTTGTCACACCAATTGCATGAAGGGGTGGAAGGTGGAGGGAGGGAGGAGCATTTGTTTTCCTGCAGCCTGGGCAATGTGGGGTGGGGAGGGGCAAAGTATTCAGGCACAGAAGAAAAACAAAGCATTTCTCAGAAGAGTTTTCTCTTCCAGTGACAATCAGCTTTTCCAGGTCCACCCATCTTGTAAATACAAGGACCAAGAAGTAACAGTCATGAGGAAGGAAAAACTGAAAATGGGATTGTCAGCTACAATAATCAGACATTTTCTGAGAAGTTATAGAATTAAATATTCTGATTACTGATGTAAAGACTAATCACTGCCAGGCCTATAGTAGAAACTTTATGTATAACATCTAATTTTCATAATCCTTCCTAGGCATTGCTACAAACACAAAGGGAAGTGATGATGTTATAGCTAGTGACAGAGTTGGAATTGAACTCACATCTGTCTCTCCTCCAAAGTGTTACTCTTTTCCCTTTCTCTCCACTGCCTCCGTCTGCTGTGACGACGGTTCCTAGTGTAAAACGCATCACATGTGAAAATCAATAACTATGTCCTATCTCGTGAAAAGCCCAGAACAAAAGAATACCCATTTCATAGTTCTATTAGTTACTTGTATAAATCTGTAAGTCCTTTGGCTCTCCTAGAAAAGCAGCTCACTGCAGGAGCCGTAGGTTTGCCTGTGGATTCAGGTAATCTCTCATTGAAAATCTGAATCTCCAATCTGGCCTGTTTTTAAAGACTATCTGATTCAGGACCATTATTACGGCCACTCAAGTTAATTGTACAATTCATTTATAGTTACATTCCTCTGAAATATCTGTTGTTTAGCATCCATATTTTCTTTTCCTAACTTCACTCTTTCAATTGTATATTGCATCTTGTTGATTACCCCTTCCTAGTCTCATTCATACTGCAGCTTTGGTTTCCCGCAATTCTCAAGGGATTCACCTAATTTCATCTAGATTTTTATACCATCTGCCACTATGAAAAATCTTTGAGCATTTTGATTCCTACAGAAACTAAGCAATACTACTAGTCATCACTTTCCATCTTTCAAAGTGCTGTTTGTAAAGTTCTTTTTCAACACATTCTATTTTAAAGTCAAACTAGCATCACTAAGCATTTTAGTCTAACATGCTCTTTAGAAGTGATATATTGGCCACAAAGTCTCCATAGCCTCAATAAATATTTATAGTGAATTTGTCTGGGCCGGTTTCATTAAGATTTATAAAAATTTATAAAGCAGTTTTTCCAGTTTACTGGAACAAACAAGAACATGATCCTTTCATGACTTCCCATGGTCTACAGGATCAAGTTCAGCACGGCTGTCAAAAGTCCTTCACCATCTGGCACATTTCCATGCATCCCAGCAACACTACTATCAAACTACCAGGCCCAGTAATCAACATCCAATGATTGTAAGTTTTCCAATCTCTATGATTTTGCATAAGGCGGTTTCTCTATTGGAATACCATCTTCTACCTCCTCTCCAGAACTCATCCTCCTTTCAAGTTCTCCAATTCCTCAGATTGGTCTCTCCTTTGGGATCTCACAGTGCATTATAAATAAATGTCTTATTCCTTAGCCTCCTCTACCTTTGAGGGTAGAGGCTCTGTATTATCAGGACCCAATTTCTAATGCATAGTAAATTAATTAGAGGAAGAATGAACATTTTTGAAATGATCACTGTGAAAAAATGACTTACATAGGGGTGGCCATTAAGTAAGTAAAGATATATTAAGCACCTGAGTGCTAGAAGATATGGGTAAATAAGAGAGATGTAATCACCACTCTCTGAAGTTTATTGTCTAATAAGACATTTATAAAAATTAAGTAAACAAAGTAAATTGTAATAAAAACTACAAAAGAAATTATCAATGCAGTAATAAGTACAAGGAAGAATGCTATAAAGCAGAAAAAAAAGAAAATTAAAAAGGGAAAGACACTAACACTTTAGATATGGTAGTAAGCAAAGGAGTTTTTGAGCTGACAATTTTGTTGATATTTAAAGGATAAGAAGGAATTAGCCATGGACAGTGTGGCAAGAGTGGGGTTGAACATTTCAGGTCAAGTGTACAAAACATGCACAGCTCTGGGGTGAGAGTTTTCCATGTTCTTAGGAATTCAAAGACCATTGTGGCTAGAGTAGAGCCAGCCAGAGAAGGAAATGGCAGGTATGGGCAGGGTATTTTGGGCCATCTTAATTTTTTTTTTTTTTTTTTTAAATATTTATTTTATTTATACAATTGCAAACGCGGGTACACTTTCTTATATTCATTTTCCTGGTCCCTTAGATGCATGAGTGAGGGTGAGAGGATTCACTGAAGACAGAGCAGGGAACAGAACAGGCAGACTGACGAAGTACACTGCTGAGGGGAGCAGAGGGCGAGATAGGAGAGGTCTGCCACGCCATGTGGGACCTTCTCTGGCCGGCTGGGATCAAATCGGTGCTGCAGAGGCTGCAGGCAGCTTCACAGCGTGGCGCTCAACAGCCTGAGCCACCAGGGGAGGCCCAGGAAATCTAAATTTTAATCTAAGTGCAAGACAGTAAGATTCTAAGCGTGACATAATTCAATTGATTTTCAAAATGTTTTCATTTTTCTTGCTGTTACATGAAAATTAGAATGGAGGAAGGTTACAGAATACAAAGATCACAGCTTCTAGGACTGACTTCATTTCAGGCCAACCAATCCAATTCTTGCCATTTGGCCCATGATTCACCTTCTAAGAGACTGTTGCTATGAAATTGACCATGTTTCCATAACTCATCCTTGTTTCCATAACTCAACATCCAGAGTGTAGTTTCTTGAAATCACATCAATTCTGGAATAGGCATTATTAATATGCCTGTTTTAAGGAATAACTGAGGTTTAAAGAGCTAACTAAGTTGCCTAAGTCACCCATCTAGCAAAAATCTGTTCCCTACTAGTTTTGAAGGAGGAAACCAAATATGGAAGAAAACAGCTACTATGTTCTATCCTGGAACTAGGGGGGTTTGGAAAGAATAGGATACATGCTGATGAATACAAAAGGGTAAGGAAAACAACAATTATTCAGTATAGTTGTGAAATATATATATATTTTTTCAATTTTAGCTATATCTAGACAATTTTTTTTATTGTTACAGTCTATGTAAGGTTAACATTCTTTTTTTCATTTAGTGGTAATAAAGACACTTAGGTAATAAGAGAAGCTACAGCTTAATGAACAAACTATACTCTTCCTCTTCCAATGATTTTTTAAGATTAAATCAGGTTACCAACACTACCAAACTAAGCAGAAGGGACCAAATTAAAAATTAGAAGATTCTAGTAAACAGAAATAAATGAAATTATAAACTGCCTAATTTTGAAATATAACCATTATTTCAGTGCAAGAAGGTTAAAATGTACAGATTCCCAGGCAACACCTATCATTCTTATACCTGAAGTCCATCATCTTTTACCAACTATAGGTATGATAGCACTGGATGCTACATAGGATTTTGTGTATCCCTACTTGAGACTAGCAGCAAAACTAACCTGATTTTGAATAGCAGAGACTAAGCTTTAGATAATATCTGCCAATGCCTCAGCAGCAGCATTCTAAATACAGAGCCACCCTACACAGAGCACCAGTACTGCTAATGACCACTTCAGTAAAAACCATCTAGAGAAGCCAAGGATATTGAATGATATTATGAATAACAAAAATATACTTATGTCTACAGCACTAGCCAGAAAAAAATTAAATATAGCTGATCCTCTTGTAAATTATGTCCCTACAGTGGAAAGATGCATCAAATCCCAGAAACCTGATTATAATCTGTACTTCCTTCTGCAATACACCTACCTACTACCTGGAAAGAATACATGAGATACACATTCACTCTGCATTTGCATTTCATTTTATATAAATAGACAGTCTGGTTTGTAAACAAAGATTGGGCCTGATCAATTTTAGATGACAAAGAATGGGTGCTAAAACTGAGTTTCTGGAAGAGTAAGGTTGATGTTTAATTTTGGACTGTGTTTGGTCAATAGTCAGCCACCCTGTCCATCTCTATTTCTCTGCTCACTGTGATTTGTATATGTATAACATCAGGAGGACATTTAGGGATGATTTAAAACTTGGCTAACAAAAGAACCTGGGCATAGTGAGAACTCATAATTAATCGTTAAAGGAACGAATGAATATTAAGCTTAAATGGACTCGACATTTTTTTCTAAATCATGTGGACTCGGCATTTTTTCTAGATCATGTTCCTAAGTTGCAAAGGAGGCAATGCCAAGAGCCACAGAAACAGCATATATCTTCAAAGAAGTGTGTGTGGGAGAATACATGTGTACATGTGTACGTACACATAAAAACACACATACATACCTGCACTCAAAGCAACGCCAGTACCACGGTGGCAGATAGACATCGCCATTGGAAGAGACCAACTACAAAGAAACATACAAAGGCAATTAAAAAAAGGAAAAGATGACACCATTACAGAGTCCACCCTGGCACAGGCAGTATGTACTACTTCAGAAACAGGCATTATTTAAAAACAAAAACAAAGTTCTTTTACATTCCTGTATTTCCACTTTCTAATTGGAAAATAAAAAAGCTAACTTTATTTCAGGAAAGTTCTCACTCTTTATCAGATTTCATCAAGGACATACAATTGTGAAGAAGAATCAATTGTAACTCAAACTGCTCTATTCACAAGAAGAAACAATATGGGTAAAAAAATACCAATTTAAATACCAAGTTATACACAGTTAGGAAAAAATCACTAGAGGGCCTCCCTAGTGGCGCAGGGGGTAAAGATTCAACCTGTGAAGCTGTCCGCAGCCTCTTCAGCACAAGATCGATCCCCGGCAAGCCAGGGAGGTACCCACATGGCACAGCAGACCTCTCCTGACTTGCCTGCTGCTCCCCTCAGCAGTGTACTTCAGTCAATCTGCCTATTCTGTTCCCCGCTCTGTCTATGGTGAATCCTCTCACCCCACACACATCTGGCCTGTACCCCAGCTCTTACATACATAAATAAATAAATCTTTAAAAAAAAAAATCACTAGAATATAACTTCCTGGGTCTTGCTTCTCCAGTGATGAGTAAAGTAGAACATCTAAGTGAATTATAGCCACCATTTCATATAATATATGGTTATTCTTAAATTCTCTTATATGCCAAAAAATATCTAATTGAGCATACCCAAATACCTATCCCAAATATTTAAATACAATTTTGCTGGATTTAATATATGTTCCTCAATCCACAGTAGTTCTGAAATGCTTTGTCTTCAACCCCTTTTCATTTATTTAAATATATATATATATATACACACACACACACATTTTAATTTTTAAATGTATTTTTTTCTTACATCATTAATTTTTGGACAATATCTGACTTCTTCCCTCAGGTGTAGGCACCACAGTTCTCCTATGACCAAAGCACTCATAAGCAATTAACATATTCCCTTGTGCTCTCCCCCCAATTCCTCCCCACCCTGCCCTTTCTCATACCTATGGTTAGCTTTCAAGGTTTGTCTTTGTCAGACCCCTTTGTTTGGATTTTCTTATTCCACATGTAAGTGAAACCATATAGTGTTTATCTTTTTCCTTCTAATTTATCTCGCTTAGCATCAACCCTTCCAGTTCCACCTATGTTGCCACAAGTGATATGGGTTTCCCTTTTTTAATCACTGAGTAGTATTCCACTGTGTATATATATACCACAGCTTCTTGATCAACACATCTGCTTTGGGCTCTATTGTTTGTTTCCATATCTTGACTATTGTAAATAGTGCTGCAATAAACACAGGGTTGCAGGTTTCCTCTCAGATTAGTGTTTTTGCATTCTTTGGGTAGATTACTAAAAGTGGAATAGCTGGATCGTATGGCAGATCCATTTCTAATGTTTTGAGGAAGCTTCATACAACTTTCCACAATGGCTGGATTAGTTTACATTCTTACCAGTAGTGTAAGAGGGTTCCCTCTTACATCCCTGCCAACACTTGGTTCTGATCCAACCCTTTTTAAAAAAGATTTATTTATGCATACAAGAATTGGTGTGTAAGCCAGAGGTGGGGGGGGGTGGGGTGAGGGTGAGAGGATTCACCAGAGAGAGTGGGGAGCAGAACAGTCGAATCTACTGAAATACATTGCTAAGGGGAGCAGTGGGTGAGGCAGGAGAGGTCTGCTGTGCCATGTGGGTTGCTCCCTGGCCACAGGGAATCGAACTCCTGAAGCTCGATAGCGCTGTTTTTACTGTGCCACCAGGGAGGCCCTGATCAAACCCTTTTTAAAATCACTTTCTATATTGTCAATTTGCCAGAACATTTCCACAGGACAACCAGTACTGCTATATTCAAGAACTACTTCTCATGTTCAAGAGGGAATTGCAAAATGGAAAGAATATGAGTTAGAGAAGGTTAACATTTGTCCGATAAAGTCAGCTTAGATAAGGAATGCTGAGCATAATCAGACATGTTAGACATTCTAAAGGGAAGCAACACAAGTAAATTGAAAAGTTCTCAAAAAGAAATTCTAACTATGTATTAAAATATCATCAGAGTACGAAAGGAATATATCTAAAGAAAACAGAAAGTACTGGCTAGACACACCAATCAGATGTAACAGTAAGTATAAAAAAGCAGAAGAGTCACAAAACAAAGGACAAGCAGAGAACAATGGCATAATTTGGTAAGAATCAGAAGACTAAAACCCAGAATGAGCTGAGGCTTGCAAAAATGTTAAGGACAACAAAAAGAGGCTTTTAAAATTATATTCAGGCAAAGAAAGTCTCCTAACTGGGATGGATAATTTTATGTTAATAGATGACAGAGTGTAATGCAGATTGCTCAACTACTCTGTTTGTCGAAGAGGAGATTATCAGACTGAAAAAGAACAAATATTGATTTGAGATATCTGAAATCATCAAGAGGTGGGGGAAATTGTTACGACACTGCTTAGCATTCCAAATGCAGTTAGGGCTCCTAGTCATATACATTAAATTCCACAAATGAAGGAGCAGACAGATGAATTATATATACTGTTCCTGGTATCTGTGAGAAATTCTGATGTGGAAAATGGGAGTGATGTGAAGTCAAGTATTACCCTAATTTTCAGAAATGATTAAAACAATAGCTGGGTCAGAGTAGTACTGGGTAGATAAAGGAGATTTTATTTTCCAAGTAACCACAATGTTATTTCCACATGATCTTCCAGAATCTTGTCACTTCTCATCAGGTAAGCAATTTAGTCTCTTAGAGATGAGCTGAACCTCACAACTGAAACAGAATGTAGCAGAAGTGACTTCCAAATCACTTTTCTCCACTGTCCCTCTCTCCCTCCCCTATGCTATCTGGAAGCCAAAGTAGCCTATGTACAAAAATCATGTGAAAGGCCGAGTAAAGAGAATAAGGGCCCTTCCAACAGCCAGAATCAATCCAAGACTTGTAAGTAAATGGATCTTCATATTAATTCAACCCAGACTTTGTGTTTTCTAGCTGAGAGCCCAGATATCAAGGAGCAGAGACAAGTTGGACCCGCTATTCCCTGTTTGAACATTAGGTAAGAGTTTAGTATCAAAAATCAAAACTGGGCTTCCCCTGGTGGTGCAGGCGGTTGAGTGCCGCGCTGTGAAGCTAACCGCAGCCTCTGCAGCGCTGGTTTGATCCTGGCCGGCCAGCAAGGGTCCCACATGGTGCAACAGATCTCTCCTGTCACGTACACTGCTCCCCTCAGCAGTGTACTTCGTCAGTCTGCCTGTTCTGTTCCCTGCTCTGTCTCTGTTGAATCCTCTCACCCTCCCATGCATCTGGCCTGTACCCCGGTTTTTGTATAAATAAATAAATAAATCTTAAAAAAAAAAAGACAAGTCTCAGACAGATGGACACCTTGTTTAAAAAAAAAAAAATCAAAACTGTTGTCATTTACCTACAGAAAAGGTGACCACTAAGAACCAGTATGATTTCCCTCTGAACATTTTTTTTTTTTTTCGAAAAACTTGAGATCCTCTTTAACTTCATTGTATCTTATTTACTTCTGTATTTCCAACCCTTTTTCTAAAAGAGTACCAAATATACTAAACAGTCAACAAATATCTTACTGATAGGAACTTTTTTCACTTTGTTAAAATGTTAATCAAGGAAAACCTAAAGACACAGGATATATGAATTTTAGGAAATGATCTGACTTTATACTATAAAGCAACAATAATTAAAACAATATGGTACTGGAGTAGAAACAGACATGTGGGTCAATGGAGCAGAACTGAAAGTCCAGAAGCAAATCCATGAGAGTATCAATACTTAATTTATGATAAAGGAGCCATGATCATGCAATGGGGGGAAGAAGTTTTTTAACAAATGGTGCTGGATGGTCAAATGTAAAAGAATGAATTTGGATCATTCTCTATTTGCATAAAAATTAATTCAAATAGATTTTAGATAACAGACCTATAACAATAAAATATATAGAAAAAAAAATCATTGGCAATACATTTCATGACATCAATGATAAAGATGTTTTCAGAGACTTGACCTCTACAATAAGGGAATAAAAACAAAAACAATTGGGATTATCTCAGATTAAAGTTTTTTTTACAGTAAAAGAAAATAAAAGTACATTAAAAGAATTCCTACTGAATGGGAAAAATATTCATACTTACACAAATGACAAGGGGTTGGTTAATATTCAATATATGTAAAAACTATTCATCTTAACAATAAAAAAACAAAACCCTAACAATCCAATTAATAAATGGGCAGCATATATGAACAGACAATTCAGCAAAGAGGCTATCCAGAAGACTAACAGACACATGGCTTTTAATAGGGGGAGATACACATCAAAAATCCTTTTATTTGTTGATTAATTTTTAAAGGACATGTTTATTAGGAAAAGGAGGAAGAAAAAAATACAGGTACCTGCATAGTCACAGGCAGAGGAGAGCTGCCAAAAAACAAACAAACAAAAACATCATTTAATAAGGAGATATCATCTCACATCTGTGAGAATGGCATGTATTAAAAAGGTCCCCAACCCCCAATAAGCGCTTGAGAGGATGTGGAGAAATAGAAATCCTATCGCACTGTTGGTGAGAATGTAAACCAGTACAGTCACTTTGGAAAGTGATCTGGATTTACCTTAAAAAAACAAAAAATGGAAATAACATACGACCTAGCAATCTGGGAATAGATTCATCTTGGGCATCTAAAATGAAATCATCACCTCAAAAAAGTACATGCTCTACAATATTTACTGCAGCATTATTTACACTAACTAGGCCATGGAAATCACCTAAATGTACTGATAGAGAATTAGATCAAGAAGATGTGGTACAGCCACACAATGGAAAACTAGTGTGCAGAAATAAAGGAAGTGAGGCTTCAGTGGTTAAGGGATGGGTTAAGGGGGGACTTTTGCACTACTGCTTTCAAGAAAGC